CCTCTGTCTTTCTTCCTGTCTCTGCCTTTCCTCCCTCCTCCTCTCTCCTCCTCTGTCCGTATCCTTCTGTCTTCCCCTCTCCCAGCCCAGCTAAGCCCTCTGCTCCCCTTCCCCGCTCATCCTGCTCTGTCCAGGCAGGGTCTGCTCAAGGCCGGGAGGGAGTCTCTCGGCCCCTTTGTCCATCACCCTCTGCCAAAGGGCACGTCTTTGCTGGGTTTCTTCAGCCCTTGTACTGTGACATCTTTGAGGCCCCATGGGTCGTGAGCCACTGGCCAGCGTGGATGGGCGCTTAAAGCCCCCCAGCTGCCCAGGGTCTGTCCTGCCCGGTCAGGCCAAGCAGAGCTGTCTCAGGGGCCTCAGGGTGGGCAGGCCCGGAACAAGTTCCCTCCACGTAGCAGCTCCCTGAGAGCCACGGCCCACGGCAGCATCAGGTAATTAAGACGTAAAAGTCCATGATTTCCTCTGTGTGTTGGCAAACAGCGGCCGGCTGCTAACGCAATCCTTTCTTTGAATAGGTTCTTGAATATAAATGATCTGTAATTAAACGTAATTAGTCCTGTACCCATTCAGCTCGGTACCGTACGCCGAGTGTGGCCGCCTGGAATCTTGCTACAAAGCATCTTCCTTTATGGGCAGATTTCTTGTTCCGTCTCAGGGTCAAGTTCATTTGACTGGACAGTAAACCTGTCCCGAGGGCCCAGTGAAGGTCCGAGGAGGACGGTCCTGGGACCAACTGCCCAGGAACTTGGATGACGAGTCGGGGTGGGGGTGTTTGCTGGTGGAAGTCTGATCTGCTTTGAGCTGCCACTGACCTCACTGTCCTGGAGAGAAAAGTCAGGAATCTGATGGGAACTGGTAGGAGGGGCACAGAGTGGGGACAAGGGGTGTCAGCACCAGGGCAGGCATGTCCTGAAGGCGTCCCACTCCCCCGACCATCCCCTCGTAAGTGGGGACTGGGGCACCCCCCCCCATGTTGGTGAGCAGGGCCTCGGGGCTGTCCTTTGGCCCCAGGAGCAGCTAAGGGAAGCCCGCAAGGGCGCATCACGGGCGATGCAGGACAGGCCAAGGGCACTCCAGCCATTGGGATGTCCTCTGGGGTCCTGGTCCCAGCCTCCCTGCCCCTCCTACTCCAAAGCCTATGGTTCCACATACCCACACCCCGACACACACGCCAGAATCACTCTGTCTTCCCTGTACCTCAAATGCTGATGTGTATCTGTTAGTCCCCCTGCCAGCCTATGGGCCCAGGGCAGGGTCCAAGGCCGGGTCACAGCCAGCCTCCAGCCCCAGCCTGGTTCACAGCGCCCTCTCGACAGCTTGCTGAGTCCTCTCTGGTCACGATCACGGTGCTGAACGCCCACCCCTGGCCTGCTCCCTTCAGCCTCGCGGGTCTCCTGCACTCCTCACGGGAGCCCGTGTGTGTGTCCTGTTACTGCCTCCATCCAGAGAGAGACGCCGCGGCTCAGAGCTGGGCGGTGCTCAGCCTGAGTCACCAGGTGGGTCACGGATGGAGCCATGCTTATGCTCAGGGCACAGATGAGTAAACTGAGGCAGAAGGACGGTTTGCCAGGGGAGGACTTCCTGCCAGTTTGGGTACTCTCTGTCTCAGAGGGCCCCTCCCACCCACCTGCCGGCCTCCCTTGCTGTGCCCCGGCCAGGCCAGCCCCATCTCAGATGGAGAGAAGAATCCCCATCCCCTACCTCCAGAAGGATCGGGGGTCGGGGCCAAGCAGCAGCTGCACGGTGACCTGGTACCCCCTCCGAGCCTCTCGGTCTGTACCGGGGGGGCGTGTCAGCACACCAGGAGGGCCTGGGCGGAGGGTGCTGGGTTCCCAAGAAGGGAGACCCTCCCACTGGAAGGGCTGTCCACAGAGACCCTGGGCGGCTGGGGGCCGTGGGCGCCCACCTCTGGGAGGACGGAAAGGGAGTGCCCACGACGGGCAGACCGCCAGACCCAGGGGTCTGCAAGCAGAGGCCCCAGGGGCATCTAGTTGAGGCTTGTGGGCCACGTGTGGTCTCTGTTGCACATTCTCTTCTTTTTACAAAATTTTAAAAATATAAAAACCACTCTTAGCTCAAGGGCTGTACCAAAACAGGCTGCTGGCAGGATCTGACCCAAAGGCCATAGAAAATAGCCATAATGATGGGAAATAGACACCCTGTATTTGTGAGATTAAATGTGACTTTTTCATTAAATTTTCGAGGTATAATATACCTCAAGAGTATGTTATATATGCATATAAAGTGAACTAAAATGAACAGCATGATGCATTTTCCCCCATGTGCCACCCCTGGAACCACCACCCGGTCAAGTTCTAGAACACTGCCAGCACCCCCATCCCATCCCCCCAGGAAGGAACCATCTCCTGGCCTCGGCACTGGAGACTGGCTGTACCTGTTCCCGAACTTGATACAAACAGGCTGCCCAGTTTGGGTTCCTTGAGCCTGGCTTCTTCTGCCCGTCGTGGTGTCTATGGGTGACGGCGGACAGACATTGCAGAGTGGAGGGGAGTTCACTGTGGGTGGTGGTGTCCTGGGCTGTTCTGACGTGTGCACATCCCATCCTCTGTTTTTCCATTCTCCTGTTGATGGACATTTGTGCAGTTTCTGCCTTTTTGCTACTATGA